TTTTTTGTCTGTTCAACCTGTTTATAGTATCTTTGTGACATAGTCCATGCAGGGTGTTTTTAACTTAAAGCACATTAAGAATGAATAAAAAAATACTATTCTTGCAAGCTTTGCTACTTCATAATCACTGTTATAAATGCTGATAAAGTTTGCTGCAATTTAAATGGGAATATGAAAACAGGTTTCTGGCCATACATTGTGTGACTCTGGTATGATGTCACATTAATGGAAGGCAGAAGCCAGCCTTGGATCCCTTAAAACACCTTTACCTTTCTGGACATTTGCTAAACTCTGTCATGCTCTTGCATCAGTTACAGTCAGCCAGTGGTTATGTAATTACATCCCTAACTTCTATGAGTAAATTGTATTTAATAACAGCAGTTGGGTATTTTGTGCATATTGGTTGCTGAACATTACAACTTGTCTTACAAAGGGTCATTCTAAAGGGGGCTTCTAACTGGCCCTGCCATAGTGTTGCCTCTATGTTTTATTTATAATAATAATTTAAATAAAGAATATTAGACAATCCTGAATTCATATTAGAACTAGTTCCCAGTTAGATTTCTTTTCATATTACAATGCAGTCATATTCTTCGTTTGCTCTCACCCAAACTTCTCATGCAGTTACACTTTAATGTGAAAAGAAATGTTGTCAAGAGTAGTTATTATCACACACCAGAATATTGTATTAGCATTCACATTTAATAGATTAAAATGAAAGATTTTGAAATCTGGTCTTAATGATACTGAGCGATCTTGGAGACACATTGGGAAAGCTTTAGATGAAATGTCATATGATATATATACATCATACATAGGTTCATAAAAGACAGTTCATTTAACTGCCTGCCTTTGTGTTTCTTCTGTTCTGTTGGGATGAATCATCCACGGGTTAAGTGACGCTTGTGCAGTTTCTTTGCTTGGAATCAAGCACAGTGAGTGGCAGGAAAGCTTGGGGAATACAAGCTGAGATTGCCAACCTGAGAATGATGAGTACATTAAGACAATTTTGGAGGCACAGAGTATAACCTGGAAGGACACTCTGGTGGTTGAAGACATCTTTGGGCCATATCTGCTCATCTTTAGACTCACTCTGATCCGGATAGGTTGCTTGAACTGTTGTTGAATACAACACCTTACTTGTAAAGCTGAATTCCAGCTGGATATAGGTTGAATTAAAGGGTCCAGGTGGAGACTTGTTGAAAGGTGCCACGCTGTAAAGCCTGCATGGTACAAAGCAGTCTATTAAAGGTGAAATGATTCAATATTAATTTCTGGGGTTTAGGGGCATATTTTGGAAGTTTCTAAACAGATGGGGAAAAAATATGAACAGAACTTTCCAGTTGATCCAATTGTTGACGCTTTTTCCTCAGTTTATTGTTTTGATGTGGGATTGTCACATTTGGGCAAGGTGAGCATTGTATCTGTGCTGCATCAATTTTTCTGAATTTTTTGTTATTGAAGGCTTATGCACCCTTTTCTTGGCTGAGGTGGGATATGCAGGTCATATCTATTTCACACTGCTTTGGTAGTTGGGAAAGGGGATGATGAATAAACAGATCAGCATTGGAGTAAATATTTTGTTTTATTCTGATATACAAAGATCATATTTTCACTCTTTTATAAACATTTTAGTAAACATTGAGAACGTGAAGGAGGTATTTTCTGACAATACCTGCTGGACAAAATGCACGTGTATATGCCTCATCCATTGAGTTTATGGGTGTTTTTCAGGCTCATGTCCAAAGTCTTAGGAACTGCCAAGTAGCCATGCACCACACTGCACTGGACTGAGGGCAGATAATAATTTAAACAGCAGTAAATGTAGTACAAACACTAACATGGCAAGAGTGTTATTGTCAGCTGATGCATTACAGTCCACAATCTGCATATGTAAACACTACAAAAAATACACATCCCATCAAATCTTGCTGACCTGTATAACCTATTACACAATATCTTGCACATACTTCTGACAAGAAGATGCTAAATATTGCAGTGACTAAATTCCATGCTTGAATATTGAAGACATTAAGTAACAAATCTGACAGCTGCTCCATATTTTTAGATGTTAACAGGTCACTTAGATTTTACAAACATTATGCATCAATTTATTTTTCTGAAAATTTACCCTAACAAATTAATCCAAAATGTAGGAGAAGGTCATTTCTCATGTAAGCATCAATCCCTGTACATTTGTAATGTAAGGTCAAAAGGCCACAAAGTTTAAATTTACACATATTTTTTCTGTTTTGGTTTCTCTGAAACATGTTCATATAAAGCCCACAGACCATAGCAAAAATAAAAAAAATATTTCAGAGCTCAATAGAGGGCCACAAACAACAAACAGGAGATGCTGAGATCCAAGACCCTGTCATGCCAGGGGGACCACTAATAGCAAGGCACTGATTAGGTAGGCAGATAATCCAAGAACAACACACAGAATTATAAAAATTTCAGTATTCATGGAAAAATACCTTAAGGAAATTATTCAAAGAATGCAGATTTGGTGATTGTAAGCTTGGGAGTAAGGACAGATGACCAAATATTCAAAAGAGGGAATTATATTAAAGACTAGTTTACTTCATAAAGATTCTTAAATCATAGTCTCATGCATTATGGAAGGCAAAATAAATTGAAATAATCCTTGACTGTATCTAGCCAGTAGGCAGAAAAGAAAAGAAATTTCTCCATATTCACTGCAACTAAACACCTGCAACACAGTATTTGAATTATAGTAAAGCTTGCAATGTATCACAACAAATATATGAAGATAACAAGGGAAATTCAAAAGAGGAGACTCAAGGAATGATGGTTTCCAGGGCCGATAGGACTCCCATAACAGGCAAGTGTAACTATCCTGTCCATGGGATTTCTTATAAATATGATATGGATTGCGTCTGTTCCAAAAAAGATATCAAACCTCATTCTAAAATGTCTGAGAAATGATGAGTTTGCTGTTGACATAATGCTTAATTACCTCCTAAAGTAGGAACTTGTATCTTATTTCAGGGCTGAATTTCTGTAACTTCCATTTCTCAACACTAGATCTCATTATACCACTGTCAGGAAGGCTGACATCTTGCTATCAGACATCTTTCCAGGGTGTAAGTACCAATCACAGTGATCAAGGCACCTTTCAGCCTTTCGTCTGACAAGCTGAATAAGTTGAGCTCCTGTAGGCCTAGCACTAGAGTGCTTGCTTTCCAACTACTGGCTGGGAAATCTCTCTTCAGAATTTCACCTGTTCATCTGAGTAGAAGAAACAATGCATTTTTTTCCAAACCAGATACTAATTTTTTTTCTCCAGAACTCTACTTTGAATGCTTGAGAAAGCTAAAAGAAATGGTGCATGCCAACAAGAAACGAAAAAGGAACAAGTATCAATCTCTATATTATGATCCAATCTAACGATCTCTATTCTGTCAAAATTGGGAAATACTCTATTCCCTATGGCAGATCTGTGTCTGTGGCATAATCCTTTCCCTCCCATGAAACTAGGACTTCTGACAGATAGTCTGTGACTATTAAATATCTCTGGCCAGGAAGGGCAGACCATCAGCTGCTGTGCCAGGAGCTGGCACTTGTTCAAGTTACTGCTGCTGTTACGAGCCTTGTAGCCTCTGGCAGAGAAAGAGGATGAACAGCTGGAAGCAGAAACCTTTTCAGCCACCTCAGCAAAAATTGGTAGAGCTATCTGCCAAAGACGCACTTTAACTTTGCCACCTTGGGCTAGTTGATTTTTACTGCACCTTGCAGGTAGAATATCCCCAGAAGCCCAACACTGCTCAGGAAATGTCCATGGGATATTTCACAGGCAGCTTCTGTGGGAGCAGAGCAATCTCAGTAGCAGGGACTTCTTAAAAAAAGCTGCTGTGTCATGCAAAACAATGGCTGATGTCCAAAATATGTCACTCTAAGCATTCACACAAGGGGTCAGGTGCAAGTTATTTCAAACAGACCTCTTAACAGCTGGAAATTTGTGGTTCATGTCTGGAGATAGGAATTCCTGCTGTTGTTCATTTCTGCTTAAAAGGTTTGAAAAGATTTTCCCTAGCTCCTCAGCAGACACTGGGGCTGTCATTGCCCTGTTGGTACTGCCACTTGAGTGGGTGTGATGAGAGTTCTGTGGGGACATTTTCCAGACTATGTAAGAAATCAGTAGTTTTACACTTCTTTGTGCTGGTACAGGATGAGGCTTCAGATCTGACAGTTTTTCTCCATCTAGACCTTCAGATTTTAATCAGCTCCTTTCTATGACATTTCTGTTACTTCTTAACTGCAGTTGAGAGGTGAAAAAAAAAAAAGAAATAAAAAGGAAAGGAGAAAAGGGAAGAAGATTTTTATATATTGTATATATTTCCAGGATTGGTATTTATCATTTACAGATGGTTATTTTTGCAGTTCTGATTATGAATGTTTACTTTATTCACACATCAAGCAAACTATCCTCTTACACCATACGGACAGGAGGTATACTCTTTCATACATTCAGATGTCTGAAAGCTGTCTGGAAATGTATTTCCTACTTTCTGACATGGGAACATTTCAGTTGGAGGAGGTTTAATTTGTTTTGAAATCTCAACTCATGTTCTGCTCAGAAGCTGAAGTTGGAATCCATTAAGATGCATTTTAGTGCAGATTCTATTCTCATCTTTCTTTTCTCAGTAAGAGTGCAATTCACTTAGTACTTCATTGCAACCAACAGCAATATGTATACATGGTGCACAAAATGAGGCATTTTGTTTTAAAACAGATTGCAGATGAAAGGAAACCATTCATTTCTTCCTTGCTAGCTGTAATTACTAGAGAGCTAATTACTCCAAATCACTGACATCCAGGGTCAATAAGGATGACAACAGGAACATCAAAGACAAGATGCACACATGCAATTACAAGTCTCTAAAACCAGGCTGTAATATTATTTTATAGCAACTGTTTTTTTCAGTCAATGCTAAAAAATCGAGTTTGCTGAATGTTTACTATTATTTCCTTTGCAGTTTGACGGTGAGAACATGTATATGAGTATGACAGAACCAAGTCAGGACTACGTGCCAGCCAGCCAGGTGGGTTAATTAATCTTCTCTGCCTTGTTTCAAATTGTAATTAAAAAAATTCAAAGAGTTGCATTGCAAATGAGTGGCACTATCAGTAACTGCTGCAATCAGGAATAATCATAATTTATAAACAAAGCATTTAAGCCTTGTTTCCAGTTAATGAGATAGAGCTGATAAAACACCAGAGTTGGCGTTTGTTGAAAGATACTACCTTGTTTCCTCTCCAGAATGCAAGCAGCTGTTTTGCCAGCATGATCTTTCCTAAACAGTTGTTTTACCTTCAGGAAATAAAGTCTTTACAGGTGCAGGTTATTTGTTTATCTGACTGCAGACAAGTTAATCATTATAAGCTATACCTGTCACAAATATCTTTAATTATCACTCATAGAACAGTTGAAGAATTGCATTTTTAGCTCTAATCCTGTGTCTGAGGAATGTTGCTATTATTACACAATTAGCAGTGGGGTTAAGGCGATGACTTAACCTTCTGTAGCCTACAGGCCAAAAGGCTTAACGTGATGTGCATTCTTTAAAGGTATTTTTGAGCCCTTTTCCTTTTGGAGAACTATACAAACTAAATTTTGATACTGGATGTGTATTAAAATATCTTCCACCTTTCCACTTGACCTCAAAGATCCTATAGATTTTTAAGAGTTACAATTGTAATTACTCCTTAAACAGCAAAGATAGTTTTGAAAGTTTTGGGTTGTCTACCTGTTGCTACATCTATATGTAGGGGGGAATTTTTCACTTACTTCATGTGTTTCAGTTTAACTTTGCATCAGTAAGTGGTGGGAATAGTGCTGCAGATGAGTTAGATTGTGTCAGAAATTGCCCTGAATAACCAGACTTGTGGTCTGTGTCATGCCATATTTCAGGCCAGTGGTGTCTGGTCTGACAAAACCAGGAGGCTTACATGCAAAAGTTTCATTAGGTGGGAAGTTTGAATGAATAGTAATTATGTTCAGATAAGCTGGATGAAATTTAGGAATCAACAGCTTTGGAAAGTGTGCATTCAAAACTAAATGTCATCGTGAAGTGGTGCTCTTCAGGTACACAGGTTCCTGGGGGGCAGAGAAGCAGGAGAGGATGTGAGATAAATACATGGTTCAATTGAAAAGACCATCTTTAAAGTGTTCCACCATGTTGCTTCTCAGCTTTCTGTCAAAGTCATTCTGAAATACCTTTAGAGACCAATAGTACTTTGCGTTTAGGAGTTGTGCATGATTGAACTAATTCAGCTAAGAACCCTCCAAGATCCAGAGGTAGTTTAGAATAGAACTGTTTGATTAAAAAATGAAAAATTATATTATTAATTTTTCTCTAACCATTAATCCAAAAACTGTACTGACAAGTTTTAGTATTACTATTAGATTAAAGCAGCCTAGTATCATCTCATTCTTGCCTTAAGGGTTTTGAAGTGCAAGGGCTAATTGAATTTGTTTGAAACAGTAGAAATACAAACTCTGTGAATGATTGCTGTTATCAGGCAGCTGCTACCTTTCAGAGAATCATTATATCTGTCTTAAATAGTTTTGAATAAAGAATTGCAAGTCCACATTATACATCAGAATTATTTTTCTTCTGTTGATATTTTTTTACTGTGTATGCATGTAGTTTAAATAATTTAAATGGCATATTGAAAAATTAAGAGTATAAGTTTTAATCTTTTATGTGGTTTCTACATGTGCTAACAAGGCCCAGATTCTCAGAGATATTTATGTATCTAACACTCACTGGTTGAAGTGAAAGTAAGGTTCTTAAAGTACCTTTAAACAGCCAGCCAGGCCTAGGTATTTTAAATGCAAATTACTTTCTCTTCAAGGAAAAAAAAAATCTATCAAATGTGACATTTCCAAATTCAAAGATATCAGAAAACTCTGAATTCTTACTGAGGGCTTGAATCAAGAAAAGGCTTACAGGATTAAAATCTGACCATGGCAAAACTGAATTCTGGGACGTCTGGCTCCCAGGTGGAGTTCAAAACCCAAAGGCAACCTCTGTCTTTTGCTGGGGGAAACCCTTGTGGCAAGAAGCAGCTCAATTGCCAGGCAGAGTGTTTTAAGTTGTTACCAAGTGTGCACCAGTCAAACAGCCTCCTGTGCCTGGTTGAGAGTAGCTGTCAGCCTTGGGCTGTCACAACCTCCTTTCCCTTTCTGGGATTTTCTCCTGGTGCTTACACTGTTGCAGTGGTTTTAAGTGAATATGCAGAATCATAGAATGGGCTGGGTTGGAATGGACCTTAAAGATCATCCAGTTCCTTCCACCAGGTCATGGGCAGGGAACCTTCCGCTAGTCCTGGTTGCTCAGAGCCCCACTCAGCCTGGCCTTGAAAACTTCCAAATATGGGAACTCTACAACCTCGCTGGCAACCTGTGCCAGTGCCTCACCCCCCTTGTAGTGAAGAGCTTCTTTCTAATGTCCAATCTAAACCAATCCTCCTGCAGCGTAAGGCCATTCCTCCCTGACCTATCGCTGCAGGCCGTGGTGAAAAGTTCCCCTCCAGCTTTCTTGTTGGCTCCCTTTAGGTATTGGAAAGCTCTCTAAGATCTCCCTGGAGCCTTGGAGCCTTCTCTTTTCCAAGCTGAACAACCCCAGCATTTTTAGCCTGCCTTCTTGCCTTCACAGAAGAGGTGTTCCAGCTCTGTGTGGGCTGGAGCATATGTGAAAGCCTGTAATAATAACAGTATTCAAAAAAAAAAAAAAAAAAAAAAAAAAAGAGACAAAACAACTTCTCTGAGAACAGGAATATGGGGTGTGATGGAAACCTGTCTCTCATGTTTCATCAAGAACCTACGACTGTGAGAGGAACCTTCCCAAACCTGTTCCTGATATAGACAGCTGCTAGTCATTCCTCAAAGGAGCAAAACAACTCTTCATTGGCAGTGTCTGTGAAGTCTTCACTGACTGTAATGGGGTGTGTTCCTTTCTTGGGCATAAGCATTTGGTGGTCAGCCAAAACTTGTGAACTGACTACCATTTCAAAATCCAGTCTGGTGGTTAAAACTGGAAAAAATACAGTATTTCCTGCTCTGAAAGCAAAGCACAAAAGACTGTGTAACTTACAGGGCTAGGGAGAGGAACAGTAAAGGATGCAATTATATTTTCTGACCATAGTTTTAGGACTGTTTGTTCATTTTCCTGTTACTGGATGTAAAACACATAATGCCGTAAAAAGAGAGAAGGAAATGTTCTCTCTCAGATGACAGCATAGTTACTCTAATCATAATTTTGTCCAATGTCTATTTTGCACCTGTGCTCATGAGTCTTGCCATTGCATGACATCAGTGTGAGGAATGTGGGCTCTTTCCCACCCTTAATAACTTGGCTGTTCCCTCACAAGATCAGAGATAGGGATTGAATGCTGTCATAATGAGAAGTGAGTAAATTACTCTGCTTTTCTTGATACATTCACATCTGCTAACTAAAATATGAATCCCACATGTAAGGACATACATAGTCCTGTCAGAAACTTTTATTGAAGCTCTGGTCATGCTGAGTCAGACATGAGCATCATTTTTTAATTTCAGAGTCTGGCATAACTTATTTGGGAAGTGGGCTGGCAGACTGAGTCATGGTATGTAACACCAAGGGGTTTCCACTTGCCCGTCCTCAGGATGAGGTGACCATAGGGGCAGACCTGCTGCAATCCAGATACATGCTGACAAGCACCTCTGTTCTTCTGTTTGCTCCAAAGTGTTCCTATCCAGAAAAAACATCACCTTATATTATTTTACAGGTTTTAATCATTTTATCCCCCTTAGGCTAACATAAATAAAAGCTCAGGCATTAGACAGGAAAAAATATAGTTTTGTTCTTTTTGCTGTATAACATCAAACATCTGCATAGTTTGGTAATCCAAGACAAGTTGCCTCACAGCATCCCTCAACAATAATTATCATTTCTGTTCAATTTTCAAATCAGTACATGCTTTGGGACTTGCAGACCAAGTTGCTAAGTAGCAACATATGGCTCACTACTGTTCCTGTGATGTTGCTGCAAGCAAATAGCATAATTCTATACTTGAAATGATTTTAACAGAAAGCCAGTGCTGGAACTGAGCCAGAAGAGTAAGTATACAGTAAAAATTAATGATATTCTTTTAAAGCGTCCCAAAAGGCTGTTTGGCAATGTTGTCTCCGTGTACATTTTATATATATGTGTAAGTACTGCATTTTTGCTTACAATATATGTGATACAGGACTCTACACTGAAGACATCTCCTAAATTAGTTATGCCAGCCATATTAACAAACATACACAATAAAAATGTGACATTTTCACTACTAATTGCACTTGGATCTGAAAGTATTTATCATTTTGAAATAAAACTATGCCAACTGATCTGCATTTGAGATTCCCACCAATTATTGTTTTCTCCCCATACCTATAATTGAAACCTTGGACATGAATTACTCTTTATGTTATTCCTCCTCCTGTAATTTGTGGGTCCCACAGAGTACAGTATAAAATTATATTGCTTATTTTACATTTCTTCCTAGTCACAATATGGAATGTAATTCAGGACTCTCTTGCACAAAGCTTTAACACATTTGTAGCCTTCCTGAGGCCTGATAAATGTTAAGGTTAATGAGTGCAGCTGCCAAATTCCCTGCAAGGTCCAAAGGGAAGGGATGAGAACAGGCCTGGAGCTGATGATTTGGGGCAGTACCCCTATTGTCCTACTGGGAAGAAAAGATCTGAGGCAGAGGAAGGAATACTGATTGCTCAGAGGTGGTTTTTTCCTGCTTCCCAGAGCTATGCCAGGGAGATCTATCTAAAATATATCTGCATGCTCTTTGATAGAGGGGGCATCGTGGGTATCAAAACTGTTTTGTCCTATACATCTACAGGGTGAAATAGGATGGATTGACATCCAAAAGAGATATTTTTCATATTAATATTGCCTTATGCACATGGTCCTACACATAGACCTCTTGTATTTTTTGTATTTTTATAACATAATTTCTTAGATTATTCATGACATAACTATGGCTCATGTGAAGTAGG